ACTCTAGAGAATAAAATAACTGAACTACAGTCTCAGTTTTTCATACCGTAACTTTCTCTGCGTACTTAAGAAAAAGGCCCTATGGCTCATGCTTAATGCACATCTGTGATCAGTCAGACACAAAGACAACAAGCAGTCTATAGGATGAAATGGATAATATTAAAGAGTAACTATCTAAACAGATGATGATGCTTTATGATAAAATGGAAAAGGCTATACTTGTAAAGTCATTTTAGAAGAATACGTTGCAGAATTAGAAATAGTTAACAGAAGAAAATAGCAAGAAATTAGGGACAAGGAAAAAGGCTGGTGGAAGAAACTAAGCAGACAATTCTTTTCTGAATGAAGTATTGAAGAGAAAGAGGCATGATAAAAGTATACCAAAAAAAAAAAAAGTGAGCTAGGGAAGGAATTATGTTTTATATCCTTTATTCTGTATTAGTGAGGAAACAGTATTAAACTCCAAGATGTTCCATGAAATTTGCAACTGTCCTATTTCAAGCCAGTAAATGTGAGCACCATGTTTGTCATTGACAAGTGATTTAGGCTGTACCAAGAATTTAGAAAGATTCAAAGTGCAATTTCATCTTCATGTGATGAGAGTTCACATAACTAATGCCAAAACTTTGTAGAAGCTAAATTGTCAGGATTCACGTTTTAAAGCAAGGTCATACTACCTAAGATCTTCTTTATCTACTACACAGTCCCAGCATCTTCCTCCAAGGATTCTGATCCTGGTAGCTGTCAGGAAAGATGCCACTGCAAAGAGAGGCCATGATTTTGATCTCTCACTTCAGTATTACTATATAATATCTTCTAAAAAAGAATAGTGAAGAGATAAACTGAACTGTGTATGACAGCAAGTAGTTAAACACTGTCAGCACTGGCTTCTAATGTCAAGGGCTATCCAAATTTACAGACACTCTTCCATAGTCAGAATCCATAGTAATAAAGCTTTCAAATAGCCATTTTCCCTTTTTGCATTCAGTCTTGCAGCTCTAACCTAACTCTTCAAACTCCTCTTATTTTATTATCGGTGCTCATTTGGTTGGATATCAAGACAAATTACTGAGTTTGAATTGTGGAGATTGGTTGAGAGCTTTTGATTTTAGGGCAGAACCAGTTATTGCTGGGCATACTGCTCCAGCCCTGACAAGAGGGTTAAATGGCTTGTTTCACAAATGGCTTGATTCATGCAGCACTCATACCAGAAGATAAGTAGTGGAGACTGTCTAGCAGAGACAGTGAGGCAGGATGTGTAAATATCTCCTCGTTTTGTAAACTACTCATCAGATGAAGCAAATTCCTAGTACATGCACGCATGAGCAGAAGCAGCATAAAAGATCTTCATTTTGGTTTTTTAAGGCACATTGCTATATCAGTGCCTGAGACCTAGGCCTGCACAGGTCTGGTTTTCATTAAATCTGTCAGAGAGGCACAGATCTCTAACATTTTTCCTTGTACATGACTGTTAATCTAAATAAATTCCTGTATATTAAAATTGCTAATTATACAATTAATTGATCACTTCCACTTCAGCCCTTTCAAAAATGATGCATAATATACCTGTTAAATTGAGAATCATAGAATGTCTGGGCTGGAAGGGACTTCCAAAGGTCATCTAGTCCAACCCCCCTGCAATAAGCAGGACAAGAGGATAATAATAAGCAACAATAAGCAGGATAAGAGGACTGATATGAAGATGGAGAGGGTGGGAGATAAAGCAGAATCCATTGTATTTCAGAATGGTTACTGTATATTCAACTGATTGCATGGATCTTTTAATTTCTTTTTATTTCATTAAGAATACATCTTATACAATAATCATTTTGTTTCTTCTAAAATGATTATTTTCTATCCCACAGTATATTAAAGATTTGCCAGCATATGTGGTAACTGTAAACCACACGATTGATTTTGAAAACAGGAAGCCTCATCACTCTCCAAGTAACCTTATCAATCAGATTTTTAATTAAAATTCAGGTAAGATCTATTTCCAATTGTTCTCCATTCTGTAAGTAATGAATGCAGAACTTTGCAAAGCTTGATAAAAAAACCTCCATTAAATCAAAGTTCCTCGGGAAGGCATATTCCCCAGTGTATTTGTCCTCTTTTTCCTCCTCATCATTTATCCTGTATCTTATGTTTGGCATTCTAGAAGGCAAATATTTTTTAGAGCTTCTAAAATACCTCAGGCTATGCCTACAGCACAGATATGTAACCATATGGTTCCTTAATTACTTAAATTACTATGTAAGGCCTATGTGCTAATGTTCAAAATACGTTTCACTCTGGTGTTAGCCCAAGGGAACCCATCTGATAGTTTGCAACCTCATGACTTTGGCAGTGCTTGTTTTGCTTGTACAGCATTTCCTTCACAGTTCTCTTAAACTATAAGGGTCAGACTTATAAGGGTTTCTCAGAGAGATACCTACTGACTAAAATCTGTGGAGTCTTCTCAGTTGAAAACTTCACTATATTGTTATTGCTTAGTGTACATGCCTGCCTTTCTTCCCTTCTGCAGTTTTGCAGATGATACAAAACTGGGAGGAGTGGCTGACCCAGGTTGTGTTACATTACAACGGGACATTGATGGGATGGAGAAATGGGCAAAAAGGAACCTCATAAAGTTTAGCAACGAGAAATATCAAGTACTGCATCTGCAGAGATATAACCCCTAACATGACCAAAGACTGGGGGATTATTGGCTGGAAAGCAGCTCTGCAGAGAAGGACCTGGAGGTCCTGGTGGACAACTAGCTGACTGTGAGTCAGCAGTGTGCCCTTGTGGCAAGGAGTGCCAACGTCCTCCTGGGCTGCTTTAGGAAGAACGTTTCCAGCAAGTCAAAGGAGGGGATCCCTATCCTCTGCTCAGTGCTGGTGAGTCACACCTGGAGTACTGGGTACAAGTGCAGAGCTCCCCAGCACAGGAGAAACGTGGATATACTGGAGTGAGTTCAAAGGAGGGCCACACAAATGTTTAAGTGGTTGGAGCATTTGAGATATGAGGAGAAGCGGATAGAACTGGGACTGTTCAGCCTGCAGAAGAAAGTGCTCAGTGGGATCTTATCCATACATGGACTTATCTGAATAAAGAGGACATAGGCCCTTTTCATTGGTGCACACTGACAGGAAAAGAGGCAAAGGGCACAAATGGAAACAGAAAATTCCATTTAAGAATAAAAAAAAAAAACACACCCTTTTTCTTTATAGTGAGTGTGATCAAACACTGAAGCAAGTTGCCCAGAGAGGCTGTGAAGTTTCCATCTTTTGAGATTTTCATAATTTGACTGGACATAGCCCTGAGCAACCTGTTCTAGCTAACCCTGCTCTGCAGGGGCTAAGACTACAGACCTTGAGAGGTGCCTCCCAGGACCAACTACTACGTGATTTTGTAGTTCTGCAATATCACCTTTTTAAAAAGGCAATTTACTTATTTCTCTCTGCAGCCAAAAGCTTCAAGTTTTATAAACCAATTCCCAAAAAAAACTGCTGCATTTCTTTGATCTTTTTTCTTAAAATATGAGAGGAAAACAAATTATAAAACCACTTTCTAGTGAAAGAATCAAAAGAACTTTTTGTGGTAAAAGGACAAGAATATTCACTGCATTTCATTAAAAATAATGAATATGAGCATTCCTACCCTATTTCAATAAGTTTGAAGATATTAAAAACATTTTATAGAATCATTTAGGTTGGAAGGGACCTCCAAGATCATCAAGTCCAACCACTGAGCCATTAGGGCTCTAAAGTCCTCTGCTAAAACAGATCAGAATTTTGACATTCATTTTCCTGATGCTGTATGTCCACCACTTGCACACTGGAAAAAAACTGCTATCTGTAGTTTGTCAGAGGGAATCCTTTATTCCATATTTGACAATGAGCAGCCTGTTACTGAATAACTTTATGACCAATCTGTGATGGAATGTTATAGCCATGCTATCAAGCAGAATTCCTACATCTCTATCCTTGATTCTCATCCTATTATCTTTTCCTGTCTGGCTTTCCTCAAAACTACATAGCTGAGAAAAAAAATATGTTCATCCCCATGTTGGAACCATGTTCTCAGAGGTATCCAGTGATGTATTACATTCCTTCTGACTGAAGGGATCACCATGCCAGGCATATGGGAATGGACAAAATGAGGAAGGCTGTTTGCTAAGATGGAATTTTTCTTTCTACAAGATTACCGTATTGCAACAAAAGCAGTATATTTCACTATTGTTTGATATCTCTGGGAGAAAGTGTATTACAATAAGGTAGACTTCAAACACATTTTAAGTCTCCACAGAATAACTGGATTTTTGCGTCCTCAAGACCTGCAGTGAAAGAATACAATTAAACTTTGTCCTTTTAACTAAAGTCTTCCCATTTCCAAATCAGGCTTCCATTTAGTAAGTGTGTTATGCATTATTTTCAAAACTCCCTTCTCCAAGTCATTCTTTTCTTGAAAACTCTTCTGGTGGTTGTTGAACTTGCTCATCCCAAACTCAGTCTAACTCTTCATTTTTTCTTTCTTAACCTAACTTTCCTTTTCTACTGTTTCTGTAATGAATACACTGAACTCTGTTGCTGGTTCTCCCATCTTCTCCATATCCTAAAATGCTATCTTTGTGTGATCCACTCACTCCATGGTATTTAGCTCCTATTTATAATCCCTGAGAGTTCACAAACCACCTTTTTTTTTTTATTTTCTATCCAACCATTATAGTAAAGCACTACCAACTGAGATCCTTCAAAAGCTGTATCTCTGCCCAGTTCAAGAATATATTTGCTAGTGCTAAAACTCCACAGAGCTCTGGTTGAGCTGCTGTATTTGACAAGTAATTCCCTTATGTTTACTGCCTACATCTGAATTTGGAATGACAGTCATGAAAAATTTCCTATTAAGGAATCAAGTTTTGATCTTGGCCACAAAGTACATTACAGTTTTGGAGGGGAAAAAAAAAAAAGCAATGATAGGTGGCAGGAGGTTTTTATGAATCATTAGACAATGTTCACCTTTATATATGCCATTGTGTCCTCCATGAACTTCTCCAGAGCTGGAGATTTCTTCGACATGAGCCCCTTGGTCAGATGTAAAGTATACAAGAGTCTTATCACTCAGATTATACTTCTCCAGCACATCCAGAACCTGCCCTAAAAAGACAGAGAGAAAAAAAAAAAAAAGAAAAGAAAAAAGATCTTTAGTATCTTCCAGTGTGTTTTGTTTTGTTTGGTTTTTTTTTCACTAGCCTTGGCACACACAAAAATTTTTGTCCTTAAGACTTTTTAAGATCACTTTCCATATAAACATTGTTATACATACTGATTGGCACCATGCAGCATACAACAGGGGACAATTGTACAAGGCTTGTTGCAGTCGTGACCATGGTTCGATTTCTGCAGGGTTCCTTTAAGTATAAAACAAGAAGATTTGTGCACATCAGAGAAAAGGGCTGATCCACAGAAAGTCAGTGACCTTTGGAAGCAGTTGCTCTCAATCAAGGAAACCCCTCAGCAAGAAGATTCAAACAGTAGAGGATATCTGAAAGAGTCTCAGCATGCAGAATAGAACTAAGAGTCTGGGGGTAAAGCTTTGCTGCCTAGCAACCTACAGAGGTGGCATGACAAAAATCTAAGTGTGACTGCTAGAATAAGACATTCTAAGAAAAAAAAAAAAAGCGAGTTAATGTATTGAGTGCCTCTGGAAACCACATGGTTTCATTATCAAGCCTATTAATCAGTACCTAATTTCTCAACATATAGGAATAGACACCAAGTAAACTCAAAAGGTGTAAGGGAATAAGCATGCACAGACACATATTTGGAAGAGGAATGCACATGGATATGCTCTGTCATTATAGGGCACCATGTGCTCACGTTTCACTTTCACAAAGGGCTTCTCACACTACCTTGGCACTGTGGAGAGCCTTTCAGTGCACAGAAATTACATTCAAGCCTATTTAGACTGAGTTTCTTAAAAGAGAGTTTCTGTATGAATAAGAGTGAACTTGCTCTTTGTAACTTGCTCCAGTGAATTTTATACTGATGAGGAGTCTAAATTTAGTGGTCCTGGATACTTACCAAAGTATAAGAATATATTTCCCCACATCAGCCTGCAAATGAGCTTTAACCTTGTCCTTTAGGGATCTCAGATCATATAAAGATAATTCTGTCTTCACAACCATTTTATCTTTATTCTTTTTACTTAAACATCCAAGAATGGTCCAATTTGAATGTTAATTTTGATTTGCTCACTTGTCCTCTAAGAATCAATTCATCAGCTGATGCCCAATTATTATGTCAAAGAGGATGAGACAAGAACTTTGAAATACAGAGTCTTCTTTAATGATTTTCAGATCAACATTCCTGTTGCTATGCTCTTTTTCTGGATAAGGAGTAGCTACCTTATTGCTTCTATTTCTACTTGTCTTTTAATCTTATACCATTCTAAAACTGCCCTATAAAAAAGGTTGACCGTCTTCATTTGTCATCAGCTCAAATGACTGGATCATGTATGAAGGAATAATAAGTGATACCTGTTGGTCTTCTTTGTAAACTAGGAGAAAAGAAGAAATGTAAGAGTAGGAGAATTTGTTTATGTAAATTTTGAAACCTTGTGGGAGTTGAAATTTCCCAACAGAGCTGAGGAAAATCTGTTACAAAGGCTGACATTTTAAAGTTGGTGGGATGAGGGAAAATCATGCAGATCCATCTGACAAGACATTCGCTTACTGCAGCAGGTGGACTTGGTGCCAGAAAGAGGCAGTTTCCCATTGGCTTCTGAGATTGTTTGGAGAATGTACCTGCTAAGTAATTACAATAACCCCTGGAAAGATGGCAGCAATGATAAAAATGTGGCATATATAAACTAGGGCACTATCTGTGGGTATTCAGCCACATGGCCTCCAGGATTCCTGTCCAACCTGTATCAATCGGTGATTGTATGGTAGTAATAATAAATGGGATTGCTCAAGGAAAAATATGTGCAATGACACGCATAAATGCATTTTTTTACCTACACAGTTTCCCTTGATGAAATTGGATTTTCAAATTCATCCTGTATATAAACCAAAATGAAAATAAAACAAGAATTTCACTCAGTACACCACGTTAAATGATGTCTGCTGATCAGAGACATCTGCTGTCATTCAGTAATGGCTACTTGGATTTCCTAATTAATTTGGGAAAAAAAATGAGAAGCAATGAAAAATGTCTTACTATCACAAATAATTCAATAAAGTAGTCATCATTATGAAGACTTTTTTTTTTTTTTTAATCAAGGTTGAGTAGCTTGACTTGGCCTGAAAAAATAAAATAAATTCTGACATTCCAATGTTACCTATTTCAGAAAAAAACCACCACAATTTAATGCATTGAAAGTCTCATCCAAAGCTTGTTGAACTCAGTAGTAAAACTTAAAATTCCTTCATCTGGATTTTTAAACACAAAGAAGATTGACTACACTAGAGTTAATTATCAAATAGTAAAATGACAATTTATTTTAACAACAGTTTTCAGTACAGATGCACTAATAGTGGCAATTCAAATAACACTGTTCTCAGAGAATAGCAATAACAAGGTACCCACAGAAATGAAGCAAAACTTCCATTTCTATTTTCTTCTGAAACACTGACACCTTCTAAAATAAAAACTATAAAAAAGTAATAGATTGTGTGCTACCAGGAGATAAGCAACATTAAAGTGTATACAAATGATGTGGCTACTCTTAACACAAACAATATATTCAATAATTACCATTTCTAAATGGTAATCAATACAGATAAAAATGCAAAGAATGGATTGTCTCTACGAACAGGTATCTTTCACATGCAATATTATATGAATTTTTGAAGCAAAACATAGAATCATACAATGTTTGGGTTGGAAGGGACCTCCAAAGGTCATCTAGTCCAACCCCCCTGCTACGAGCACTGACATCTCCAATCAGATCAGGCCACACAGAGCCCCATCAAGCCTGATCTTGAATGTCCCCAGGGATGGAGCCTCCACCAACTGTATGGGCAACCTATTCCAGTGCTCTATCATCCTCACATTGAAGACCTTTTTCCTAAATTCTAACCTAAATCTACCCTCTTCTAGCTTAAAGCCATTACCCCTCGTCCTGTCACTACAAACCCTTGTGAACAGACCCTCCCCTGCTCTCCTGTAGGCCCTTTTCAGGTACTGGAAGGTTGCTATAAGGTCTCCCCTGAGAAAGCAAAGCAGGCAAAGCTGCACCTTGGCCTTCCCCACCTCGTCCCTGCACAACCGGGCAGCGTCCCTGTATCCTTCCTGGGATATCTGTCCCTGCTTCCACTGCTTGTGCAGTCTCATCTTGTCCTTTAGTCTGGCCAGAAGGTCTTGAGTAAGCCGTGCTGCTCTCCTTCCTTCCCTACCCAATTTCCTGCAGCTGAGAATTGAAAGTTCTTGTGCTCTATGATAACTATCTTTAAAGACCTGCCAGGTCAGTTCCACTCCCTTGTCCCTAAGGACTATTTCCCAGGGAGTCTTACTGGCTAACTCCTTGAAGAGCCAGAGGTTTGCTTTCTTAGAATTTAGGGTTCTGACTTTGCTTTTCATCTCCCTCATACCCCTTGGGACAGTGAACTGCACTAATGCATGGTCACTGCATTACTACAAAGTGCTATAAAGAAAATACTACAAAGTAGGTAAAGTTCAGCCTTCACTGTTCTGACAATTTCTTTTTCACCCTAACTACTCTTATTAATTCTATAGATTTCACAGAGACTTTGGAATTAATTAAAATTGATGTATTAACATTCCCAGGTAATGCCAGTTAATGAAAAGGAGGAAATTCATCTAAGCTATTTTAGTTGTCTTGGGAAGAGGTGATTCATAACTGAAAAAAGGCATTTTTTTACCTGTTGAGTAAAGAAGAGAAGATAGGCAACCAGCTCCAAACTAAATGCCTTCATATTAGACATCAAGGACAGTAAGATGAATCCTACCCAAAGTGCAAGACATGAAACTACATGAGTAACACACTTTAATGAGTGTGGTGAACAAATAAATGACGTCTGAGTAAGAGAAGATGGGAAATTTGTATTGTTTCACCCATAAAATATGATCGGAAGGTTTTCATATGTCGTGTGTTCTTGAATTACGAGAATGGGTCTTCAGTTGTCTTAGGATCACCTTTGAGTCCCGTTGCTGGTTGAAGATAGGAATACAAATTTTAAAAGACTTTTTGGGTGCCAAGCATTCATACAGAATATGAAACCATAGGATAAATAAACCAAAACACTGGGAAAACCATAGCTCTGTTTGAGCAAAAATAGCTTGCTATCCCCAGTGCAGGAAATTATCAATAAAAATGGAATACTTTTTGATGGAAAAAACTCAGTTGAAAGCCATGGTCTAAAAAATCAACAGCTGCACTGATACCTGTGGATGGTACCATGTGGAGTTTTTTTCCTTATTCGAACAGAACAGATTTGGAAAGACATTTCTAACAACAAAATCAATCTAACACTGAAGGAGCTGCAGAATTTCTGAACCTATTTAGCAGCTAGAATCTCAGATCAAGTTCCTCCTACTATTACCATTCTAGGAATGTTCAGCTAAAGGTAGGTGGCTAACATTGTAGCAAAGGCATTGGATCACTGGACAACTTTTAAAAACATTTATTTCACTTGTATTTTTTAAGATACAAAACAGATTAAGGACAGCATTAGGACGTTACTTGTTTTATTTAGTAACAAAATCAATGTTCCAAAATTTAAGTAAAGCTTCCTCGAAAATATACCGAGGACTGTTCTCTAAATTCTGCTCTCCACTTTTGCATCGAGGTCTGTTAAAGTTATTTCTTTTGTAAAGTGAAAATGCCAGTTTCAAAGGAGTGATAGCCGTGTGAAACTAATAAGAGCAATTGACTCTGTTCTTTAGAAGGAAACTGAGAGTGCCAAGCCACTATTCAGCTTCAGTAACACAGAATGAATAGTAGCTGAACCAGCTTATCTAATGCTGAGCATAATTTCTGAAGTTTTGAACCATATAAAAATACTGTATTCATCTATATTAAGTGTAAGAAATATATATTAAGTGTAAGAGCAAAAAACGACTATTCATTTGAAAATGAGGTACAAACACTGCAAAACAATAAGGGGTTACAAACGTGTTATTGATTTGGAAAA